TATATATATATTGGAATTGGTTGTTGTTGACTCTGAATGTTGGCAATCACATAGTCGCTTTGGTAAATGTGCAAATTATATACTAGTTCTAATTAAGTGCCACTGCCCGGTATACATTTGTCCGGTATACCCAACACTGATGCTTTCTTAAGGTTTAGTGCCACTGTCCGGTATAAATTAGCCCGGTACTCCGATCATTGAAGTTTCTCCTAATCTATTCTCAGCAGATATTAAAATATAACAATATCAATGAATAAATTAATATCAAATCAGATGGAACAAATATTTCGGACATTCGCCAAAGCGACTATGTGATTGGATTGTTGACATTCTCCGATGAAAGTCGATATTCTCTTGATTTTGGTCATTCACGGTTACATCCATTTTAAGAATGTTAAGTATTGACACAGTTTGAATTGACTAATGAATGACCAAATAAACGAATACATTGTACCTATATTAGTATATTTAGTACCTATTAAAATTATACCGATTACCATACCAGTAGTCCCTGTTACCGAAATTAAAATTAACCGTTCTCTTGATTTCGGTCAACACATCGGCTGATAAGTTTCCGGTCTGACATAGAGATGGGACCCTAAATGCAGAATTAGTATTTTGTTTAGCAAGTCCCAACCTTCAAATAAAAGGTGTCAAAATTTTACAACGATCTGTAGATTGGTCTTAAAGTTGCAGTGATTTTAAACTTTGGCCTCAAAATAGGCGTTTGTTTCAACAATCACTTCCTCATTCGTGCTGAATCTCCTACCCGCGAACAATTGTTTCAAGTCTGCAAACAAGTGGAAGTCACTAGGAGCCAAATCTGGTGAATAGGGGATGTCTGACACAACGTCAAACAGCTCTCGGAATCATCAATGGGTTGTTGTTTTTGGTCAACTGTTAAGCATGCGCGGCACCCACTTCGAAAACAGCTTTCTCATAAACAAATGTTCGTGCAAAATAAAGCCTACACGCTCTTTTGATATATTTAGAGTATCAGCTATGTCATCCAACTTCACTTTGCGGTTTTCTATAACAATTGTGTTGACTTTTATTATGTTTTCCGGATTAACATCTTCTTTAGGGCGTCCAGGACGTGGCGCACCTTCAACATTTGTACGACCACGTTTAAAATCAGCAAACCTGTCAATAATAGTCGATTTTCCTGCTGAGGAACCCGGATAACACTTATCGAGCCAAGCTTTAGTTTCTACCGTGTTTTTTCCCATTAAACAATGTTTAATAAGAGCACGAAACAATGCTTAATAAGAACACGAAATTGTTTAATAAGAACACGAAATTGCTTCAATAATATAAATTGGTGTTCGATTAAAATCACTGTAACTTCAAAACCAATCTACAGATCGTTATAAAATTTTGACATCTTTTATTTGAAGGTTAGGACTTGCTAAACAAAATACTAATTCTGCATTTAGGGTCCCATCTCTATGTCAGACCAGAAACTTATCTATATAAACGTACGGTGTAATAATTTTATATCAGTTACTTAATATTTTTTAGTAAATAAAAGAAACAGTTTTTGAACAAAAAGGAAAAGTCTGAAAAAATAAAATTCATACTGAAATATAATTTAAATGAGCCCCCCCCCCAAAAAAAAAACATTTAAAAGAAAAAAAAAGCTAGATTCAGTGCTTCCGTTACAAGAGAGGCTGCATACCCAGGTGACAAAATAAAAAAAGAAGTTTCTTTTTAAAAAAAATAAATCCAATGCAGAGGCACACCGGTTACCATTTAATATCATAAGCAGTAATCATTTTTGATAAAATGTTGGTTGTCAATGATAAGAGTTTATATATTGCTGATTTATGCCAGTGACGTTTATCATTATTATAAATAGCATCAATTAAGCGGTTAAGAAAATGATTAACGAAACGATTAAGCAATTAGAACGTATTTCCAAGGTTGGGTGGTGCTAAAAATAATAAGAAAAGCTTACGTTCTTTATGTTTTTCTCTTTTTTTAAAATTTCTAATGACAATTTAATAGATAAACGCCAAATAACTGTAATATATACAAAGATATAATATTTTTCTTGATACCGGTAAGCAAAATATAAACTGCACACATGAATCAAATTTTTGTAAATAAAAGTAAAATAAATAAGTTTTCTATACTTCGCATTCGTTCTTAATTCGCCAACATTACTTCAACATTCTCAAAACTTAATAAAAATATTCAATTCGTTTTTAAACGATTTCAAAATATTTTAATGCATTTCATATTATTTGAATTAGAAGCGCTTATTTTGCTGTATTTTTTTATATTGTTCTCTGCTAAATTATTATTTCTACGAAGTTACGGGTTTATTAGTTTCTACGTTATTTGAAAACAATTTCTATGACATGGATAAAATAAAGTTAAAAATTATATAGTTCACACAAGTATAACAGGCATAAAAAATTTCGAAGTTTGTAAATCGCAAAATGTATAGTTCGAAAAAAATTATGAAGTATTTAAAAATTTAAACGCGTAAAATAATTCACAGAGAATAAAAAGCACTTTGAATCTTTGTTCTTGCTAAAGACCAATTTCGATTCGCTTAAAATTGTTAAACTATTTTTAAATGCGAATAGAATGATGGAATTTTTCCCAGGATATTTGCAATTGCTTCAAACTTAAATGTAAGGATTAAAACAATTAATATATTTTTAAGATTATATCAACCTTTTCAACAGTGTTATGATGGTTAATTGTTAGCTTGAATTCTCTAACTTTATATATCATCCATTTAGCTCAGACCATGTGTAAAAACTAATACAAATTCTACTCATTATTTATCAAATCTTCTTGAATTGAATAACAAGTTCTATTTGGGTTTGAGTAGATATTGACCATGTCAACCTTCATCTATGAAAATCGCTTATAAAATACTTTTTATTATTCCATTCAAGTTTAAATACATTTTTTTGAACTTCTAGTGGATGATACTTCATGTTAATACATTTTCTTCAAATATTAATTCCTTAATTAAATTTAATTAATTAATTTTAGTTTTATATGTAAAATTGTTTTTAATTATTTAATAAAAAGTAACGAAAATAAAATTTTTCTTTGTTAGTATTAGAATTTGTCCTTAAATATTCAGAGATTATCCAAATATATCGTCGAATAAAGATCCAATTAGATATTTTATTTTTTATTTTATAACCGTCGTTGAACAGCAGACCCAATTGTATGTGTTTGCTGCTACTAATGTTCAACTCCCGTTGCCTTGTAATTTTGAACGTAATCCAGAAGACAAGAGAACTCCTGGATCAAGTATTGGTAGACATTTGCCTTTTTGATGCAACTTACCCGCAATTGCGTTTTATGGAGAGGAAAACCCCGAAAACCTTCCATGGCAAGCCTGGCGACAAGGGAACTCTAATCCATGATCCGTCTACCACTGAGGATATTTCACATCAGCACTGTAGTCGGTCCAATTGGTTATTTACAAACGTACAAAATGGCGTCCTGGTGTTTTTGAAATTCAAAAATCCGAAGTAGTTTTCCAAAACGATTTACATATTCATTCATCAGCACTACATACGCCTTTATTCGACTAAAAGTTATTTCATTTTGGAAATGGTTTTTCCTTAGATACGCTTTTTCTTTCTATTTAAGAATTGCTTGAATAAGAACATGATGTAGGATCAAATCTGGAAAACGAATAAAATAAAAAAATAAAAAAATCAGACTAGCAGAACAATTATGAGAAGTGCAGCCGAGTTATTTTTAGAATAAACTGTGACGTCAAATTATTCCATTTTGTGCTGAACTAGGAAAGGAGCGGTTACAAGTGGTATTGATTAGAACAGAATAAAGGAGAAACCTTTCTTAACACCTAAGAATGATTACGCAATATTGAAAGATATCTTCTACGTACGTATATTTACCAGGATGCCTCGTTCTAAAGTAATACTCCTTGAAAAATATTTTATTTTAGAATAAATATGGGGAGCAAGGAAACAGAAAAAAATTCCTTGTAGACCACTGTTTCTCCTAATTTTTATTTATGAACTAAGTCCATTTTTAAAAAATTATATCATTAACGAATTTGCCTTTTCATCAAATTCTCATTCATAAATTCAGAGCCTCGCTTCGTAACAAACTCTTGCATTCACTTAAAAAAACCACTAGTTGCCGCTATAAGCATCGATAATACTGAATTGGAAGAAAAAGATCAAAACGTAATTTTTTTACTTATTTTTCTTATCTTTATTTTGTCAAAAAGAGCAGGAAGGAAGAATAATTAATACAGGAGTTCATATTTTTTTAAAATTGGAATCTGGGAGAATTGAAAGTATTGATAATTATAGTTTGAAAACTCATTTGTTCATCTTTGCAATGACTTTCTCGTGTTTTCAATTAAGACGTGAATGTTCGTCAGATATCCGCTTTCAAGCGAATTTTCATAATTTTATAGGACTTATAATATATTTTCAAAAAAAAAATGTTGCATGAACAGGTCAGAACATGGTTTGAGAAGTATAACGCAATATATCAGCTGAATAAACTGTACTAATAACATGTATTTACTAATAACATGTAATGTACTAATAACATGTATTACAAAATTCTCATTTCGAGAAAAATATTGAATCTGAAAACTTTTTTGGAATGAAAAACTTATTAAAAAATCATTATGAGAAGTTATACAAAATGTAGACAATTTTTTTTTACAGTTTTGTTACAGATACTTGAGTGTTTTCCTTAAAATGGTACCACAAGAAAAAAAGAAATATTTGTAGAAAAAAAACAGAAGTTTGTAAATTTGAAATATATATATATATATATATATATTAGGTTTTAAAAAAAATTAAATGTAATGAACGAGTAGCACGTAAAATTCCTTTGAAGTGTTAAATATTTTTATAAATTCCGAAAGATAGCAAAAGAGAAATTTTTTTTTTAAACTCGAAGTCATGAAACTTAAAAAAAAAAGGACAGTTAACTAATCCTTATCAAATCTCGCGCGAACTTGGCGAATTTTAAAACGAATTTGGCGCGATAAAAGCGTCTGCTGGTTTTGATCTTAACAGAATGGGAAGAGAGAGAGACGAAGATAAATTGCCAACTGCTCCTGTTCGTTTTAGAATGGACTACTGATTTTTTTTTTGTTATTTTTTTTCTTTTTATCTTTGTTTGTCAAGCTTTGTATGTCTTCTCACGCTTTTTCCTTGTATAATAAGGAAATTCCTTGTTTATTTAT